AGCCTCCTGAGGTAGTATAGTTACTACCTTCTGCAGGTGGACTATTATGGTCAAGCAACAACTGATTTTCAACAGCGTCAAGCTGATACGCAATCGTAAGAAATTGGGATGCACTATAACGTTGACGCTGATAAGCCTGTAGGCAGACATTTGTGGCKGTCAAACCACAAGAATTTGGTAGGTCTGCCCGCAGATCCGAATCGGTCACCACTGGAAAGCCAGATGTGATCTGGCGGGGTCGGCGCGTATATCGAACTGCATGGAAAGGCAAACGATTTTACTGCAAGATGAAGGAGACAACAGCAGGACGCTGCTTTCGGCTATGGAGGTGCTGAAGAACACCATAGATGAACGCAAGAGACAAACATAAGAGAGAAAGTAAACAGACGAGAGACGCAAGAGAGAGAGGGGGGGCGGGGGGAGGGAGGAGGGGGAGGAGGAGGAGAAGGGTTAGCCACTAAGTTTTGATAGCTACGGAGAGATGGGGCGTTGAACGTCTACGTGTGTGTGTGTGAGAGAGAGAGAGAGGGGGAGAAAGAGAGAGAGAGAGAGAGAGAGAGAGAGAGAGAGGGTGGAGCGGGGGTGGGCGGGAGGAAGAGGGGGGAAATTAGCCATTGAGTGTTAATAGCTACGGAGAGATGGGGCGTTGAACGTCTACGTACGTGCGTGTGTGTGTGTGTGTGTGTGTGTCTGAGAGAGAGAGAGAGACAGAGAGCGAGAGAGAGAGAGAGAGACAGCGAGAGAGAGAGACAGAGACAGAGACAGAGACAGAGCGAGAGAGAGAGAGAGAGACAGAGCGAGAGAGAGAGAGACAGAGAGCGACAGAGAGCGAGAGAGAGAGACAGAGCGCAGAGAGAAAAAGACAGAGCGAGAGAGAGAGAGAGAGAGAGAGAGAGAGAGAGAGAGAGAGAGAGCGATGGTAAACTGACCCTTCATCATTGGAGGAGGGATTGAGCTCTAATCAATTACATGTAATTGAAAAACATTATGTTTGCCAGTAGTTGATTGGACAGGGGTGATAGTTGATTGAGCTCTGATCTATCGTCCACCGAACAGAATGCCCGGTGATTATCTCCGCATCTGAACCGGAATTTGCCCCCAAATACAGATATAATCACCGGGCGTTCTATGCGGCAGTCTATCAGACGAAAGGTGTGATATTTTGGACGATTTTCATTCACTTAATTTCAGTAAGCGATCAAAACAAGACCGGTCAGATTTTTCGTCGTCGTCGAAACCAATCAAGAGATCGAATCCAACCAAGAAACGATTATAGTTCAACTAATTTCAGTAATCAATCAAAACGAGAGCTGTCAGATTTCTCGTCATCGTTCAATCTAATCGAGAGATCGAATCGTCTATCACGAAATTGGGAGGGCGATACACGTAACCCCATTGATTGCGATCGCGATCCCGTCGACTCTCTCTCTCTCTCTCTCTCTCTCTCTCTCTCTCTCTCTCTCTGAGCGTGGTCGAGAATCCACTATGCCAGGGACAAACAGATACCATCAAAACAAAAAACAGGGACAATGAGCGTCCATCTCTATTCATGACCGTCCATCTCTATTACCTATGATCAGCATTTCTCAAAGAGATCGATCCAACAAAATTATATATCGTCAAACAGCTGCCCGGTAAACCGTAGGCAGAGAGGGAGAAGAGGACAACAAACGAGCGGCTGTGACAAACTATATATTGTCACAGAACTACTGACTAAGAGTGCAAATTATACAGATGAGAATGTATCTTCCGCTTGAATTGGAAAGATAGACCACATAATTTTGTCTTTTGTGCATGTGGTAAATAGTGTGTTTCTGTCTTTTGTGCATGTGGTCAATAGTGTGTTTCTGTCTTTTGTGCATGTGGTCAATAGTGTGTTTCCGTCTTTTGTGCATATGGTGAGTAGTGGAGCCAGGCCCTACGCCTGCGATGATGGTTGGAGTGTTGATGATCGCTTTGCTGCGAGGTAGACAGCAATCGGTCCTACCAGTAGGTAGGTAGGCAACAATTGGTGCTACCGGTAGGTAGGTAGGTAGGTAGGTAGGTAGGCAACAATTGGTGCTAGCAGTAAGTAGGTAGGCAACAATCGGCGTTACCGGTAGGTGTAGGTAGACAGGCAACAATTGGTCCTTCCTACTTGTAGGTAGGCAACAATCGGCGCCTGATGAGTAACCACATCAGTGGAGTAGAGAGGAGTTGTCGAGTGGGTTGATTTTAACTAAATCACGGGAAGGAAAAACTGAATATTATTCGTTATTTTATTTATTTCCTGTTTTTCTCCTGGATAAATTGGATAACAATATTATCATATTTCCAGTGTATGTTCCATTCAGAATTCTGCACGCTTTTGATGGGTTGATTAATCGGATGATGATTAAGAATTCAGAAAAACAGGGAACGATAACTGAGGAGTCTAGATACATGGCTATACTAACCGTGGGTTCTATTCGGGTGAAGACGGTGGGATTCCCATGCCAGTGTGGCGAAGAAGGGTAGGATTAGTCGTCGAGGCACTGTGATTCATTTGTTGTAGCGAGAAAAATACATAAATAAATAAATAAATAATAGAAAAACAAAATGCCTTGCATTGATTCTGTTCGCGCCTGGCGCCTCTTTCCCGCCACTTCTCTTGCCCTCAATTGTCGCACGCGATGTCGCCCAGAGGTCGACCCTTGTG